GTGTTCTGATATGTCTGAAAGGTTGCAAAGCACCCTTCTGGCATGGCCTGACAGTACTTGCCTGCAGGTGTGCAGGGTATGGTCCTCGGTATTGCGGTTGACTTGAGCGCCTTGCCTTATCTGCCCCGCCTGATTCTTGGGTCCTCACCGAGCGGGCGTCCCCGGTCGGTCATTCTCAATCGGCTCTGACCGCGCCGGTCGGAGAAGAGCTGTAGGCAGAGGTTCGATGTATTCCCGGTCGGAAAAGCGGATCGGAGTCGGAAGCGAGCGCATCCTCTTCTTGGCCAGGTCTTCCGATCGGAGACTGGATCGCTCTTCCGGCCTGTCGTTAGGTATCTAGGCCGGCTCAGGAGTCGCACATTGTTATAATGCCGTCTGCTGGGCCGAGCTTTTACTGGTAAGCGGGCCCATCGGGGACCCTGGGTTTATGAACCCAATAAAAGCATACCATATTATATACACAATGTGTAGATCTACTCATGTGAAGTCCAACAAAATTGAATTTTTTATTTTCTGATTTTTATATGATTTAATATGATTTTTCAAATATTCAGCTAAAATAAATATATAAAAAAGATAAAATCGTTTTTAAAAACCGCTTGTAAGGAAGGTAAAATAGACAGTTTTAAAAGTTCACGAGCGTAGTTTAACGATAGCTGAGGAGGTAACATGGTGACTTTTTTCTTTCCTTTCGCAATTCAAACCGAAACAGACCAAGTCCATCAATACGTGCGGCCCATTTACATCCACGAACAACTAAAACCTGCCCAACAGGGGGAAAAAAAAAAGGAAAAAAAAAACCCCGCTGACTCCCTGAACGCGTCGTCTCTCTGTCCAATCCAACAGATCAACACCGGAGCCGAGGAAGCCGGAGCGAGAAGGCGACGCAAACCGCAGCTTACCTCGCCGCCTAGGGTTTCCAGATGACGACGGCGGCGCGCCCCACCTGGGCGCCGGCCAAGGGCGGCAACGAGCAGGGGGGCACGCGCATCTTCGGCCCCTCCCAGAAGTACTCCTCCCGCGACCTCGCCGCGCACACCTCCCTCAAGCCCAGGTATTCTCTTCCTCTTCCCTGCACCCACCCCCTTCTATCCGTCTCTCCATCGGTCGATTCATCACCGTCCTTGCCTGTCCGACAGAGGTCTCCTGGCCGCCTGCCCCTGTTTCTTCTTTTATTTCCCCCACCTAATTTTGCGCCTGCGCCTAGCTCCACGGACGGAGGATCCATTGCGGGGAACGGCTAGGCTCCGTTTGCTCCTCGATCTGGGGAGATTTTCGATTCGATTTGGGCGCCGTCGGTTCGATCCTACCACGAGAGAATCGCCACGGTGTGGCCGTCTCCTACGCCGGCGTCAAACCCTAACCTTCAAAATTTTGCGCTTAATTTCGTTTGATTAGCCTTTCTGTACCACGTGTGATGTGTTACTACAGCTTAAAAATTTGAATTACCCAGTGAGTGCCTACATTAGCATTTCAAAATCATTTTATTTTAGGTGCTGAAAAATCATATCCAAATCAAATGTTAAGATGGTATGGTTTTCATTTCTTCCAGCATCAGTTTCTTTTTATAATATACTTTAGTCCAGAGTTGCTTTACGTAGATGATGATGGTGCTATTCAGTAGGAAGTAACATATACCACCAACTATCTGCTGATGTTGAGTTCATTTGACAACTCATTCCACTTTAGATATTACTATTAGTATATGTCTATTCGGTGGTATGCTGAAATATTAATTGCTTCATCTTTGTAAGTGCAACATTAAGAAGGTGGCTGCAGAGTCTACCAAAAACCAGAGCAGATGCATGCCTGCTGTTGTTCAGTTGCCATGAACATCTAGATATTGCAACTGACATACAGCAGGAGCTCTTGCTTCCACTGCCTCCACTTTCGACCAGATCACCGATAAGATTGTAGTCCAAAAAACAAAGTAGTAGTTGGAGAATTGCTGGAGTTAAAATCTGACAGGAAATCCATTAATCCTAATCCATGTAAACATGTTATATTATTCTCTTAGAGTTTTGGTCCAATTGTCGAATTAACCATGTACAAACACAAAGCAAATCATCTTAGGGATCCTGACTTCCAGTCAAATAGCCTACATTGGACAAGTATTTGGCACTACAGTCCGAACTCTCAACTGTTGATAACAGCTTTCATAGTTAGCTAGAAAGATGCAGGATATGCAGTTCCTAGCTGGTATTTAGAAAGGACCGATATAGCATGGCGCTCTGGCCATTTCTAAGATGTCTCACTTTTTGCATTCATGCTGTGTAAAAAATTAATTCACTCACTTTATGCTTGATTTGGTGGAGGGACCTGAAGGCAACTTCATTTTTTTTACAACCTCTTTTTAATATTCTGGTAGATAGCTGTTGATTTTTTAAAGAATCTGGTAACTCATACGTTTTTACTACACTGATACAATTATTAATCCTGCTTGATTAGCCTTTCTGCACCACATGACTGCTTGCAAACAACGAAATGCATTTGCTTTTGCTCCACCTCTGACAATCGTTATGACTACCACCATGTATGTAATTTGGATTACGTTTGCAAATCGAAAGGGACAGCTAGCTGCTTATGCAAGGTTGAATATTTCCTAATAACCAGCTAGTAACTTGGCATTCTATCTTGTCTAGGAAAAAAAAGGCATAAAGCATAGACTTGGTCACATGTCTTGTCCATTGAACGGAGTTTGGAGAGGCGATAGTTGTACAAATCTTAATCGCTGAATTTGCTTTGTTAAGGCAAAGAAAATTTCAGCACCACCATCATATTGCTTACAAAGATGTATATGTTCCCTGTTAGTATCTGGGAATCACAACCAACCCCCTCACAGATGGTTAAGGTATTCCCTATAATTATCCTCACTGAATGTCTCCGTCAAAGCCGCTGGCTGTATATTTTTGTTGCCAATATATGTCAGGCTGAGGTTTGTTCCTACACGACTCACTATTTTTGCCCATGTGTACAGAAAAGACGGTCAACAGACCCAAGAGGAGTTACAGAAGAGGAACCTTAGGGAGGAACTTGAGGAACGTGAGCGCAAGCACTACTCTTCCAAGGATAAGTCCTATGCTGGTATACCTACTTTCTCTGTCTCGTTCTTTTGTGTTTTCTGTACAGGGTAAGTTGGTAACTGGTATGTATAATCAGTAACAATATCTATCTTCTTGCCTGCAGAAGAAAGAGACCGACGGAAAAGTTCAAGCCAGCTACTCTTAGAAGGTTGGTGGAACGAACGCTGCATCAATATCTGTTTATGCTGTGGCTTAGTGACAACTTATTCCTTTCTTGCTGTAACTCATAGGTTCAAAGAGAGAGGCGGAGGATAAGATAGTTCCACGAGAAATTGATGCAGATGACTCCGATGTGGAGCCTAAAAGTGATGATGAGAGGTATGTATCATTGTCCATCTCATTGATGGGTGTTTATGAACCCTACTTTTGTGAAATGCTTCTGGGATTCTTCTTTCTTTAGCAGGCTTAACTGCACTTGCAACTGCATTAATTATTTTGTAGAATGGTTTCAAATGTTTTTTTTTTCCGTGTCAACTTCAGTAAAAATTCGTATGGTGGTATGGCCACAAGGCTACTCACTTCTGGAGTAGTGGTTAATATCCACTATTGTGCATTGCCTAGCGTAGTATCACAATTAGCTTCAGCTTCCTGTGATAAGGCTGCTTTCACTTCAAATGGGCAGAGAAAATAAGGCAGCGCCATTCTTGACATTGTTTAGAGCAAATATCTTATTGCGGCTGTGTTTCCATAATTTAGAGCACTACCACTTCACTATGCTTGGTTGCTCTTACACATTAGTGCCAAATTGTGTTCAGCGATGAAGATGATGACGATGACGATGACACTGAAGCTCTAATGGCGGAGCTTGAGAGGATTAAGAAAGAAAGAGCCGAGGAGAAGCTTAGAAAGGTTTGTTATCTTTGCATCTCTGTCGTTGAGTCATGATTTTAGGTTTTTGTACATTTGGATTATGGGGATGTAATGAGAATTGTTCCATTTCAGGAGCGGCAACAAGCAGAAGAGGAGGCTAAGATGAAGGAGGCTGAACTGATGCGAGGAAACCCTTTGATTAATATCAACAATCCAGGCTCCTTCAGTGTTAAGAGAAGGTAGGATGCTGGTGGTGAGCTTGTTGTGTTATATAGTATGTTTTTTGTCCTGATTGAAACTACACGTGGGTTATGTCGAGCCTAATCTCTGGTGTTTGTGGTTTCCAGGTGGGATGATGATGTGGTATTTAAGAACCAGGCACGCGGAGAGACCAAGACACCGAAACGGTTTATCAACGACACCATCAGGAGTGATTTCCACCGTAAATTTCTGCAGAGGTACATGAAGTGATGGTACTGTCCTGTACAATTTAGATGTCTCCTCCGTGCTGTGTATGGCAGGGCCTTGGTTGATTTGGGGGCTATCATCGTTATTATGTTAATGTATGATGAGTGAAGGTCCATTATTGTGTTGCTGTATGAAACGAGTATAAACACGTGCCGGCATGCTCACTTGACACCCATGACCAAAGACATGTAAGCCCATGCAAACATTTATCTCATTTGAAATTGCTATAATGCCCTTTGTCCTCTTATATATGTAACCTTTCTTTCTTACACATGTAAATAAGTATGGTGGAGGCTCTAGAAAATTCTCATAAACAAACAAATTAAAAGTCTAACTGTTTCATGTGGGGCCCCAAAAGGGAAAAAAATGATTAAAGATTGGCAAGAAGTTTTACAAAAGAAAATACGAGCATATATGTGAAGGTACAAATTACTTGAAAACAAGAGGGATGTAACAGACAGATCAAGCACTATTTTGTTTGTTTGTTTACATGTAACAAACATCACCTTGTGGGAATATAAACAACAAATAGAGGTGTACCTAATAATTGATAGAAATGTGGGTGTCGATGGGTGCATTATCTTTATCTATGTAGTATAGTAGTACCTTATATATCATGCATGATTAAGGTAACTTTGCTCACTTGTGAATAGCTGGGAGGCCGAAGATTATTATGTAGGACCAGAAGCGGTCCAAGGCATAAATGATCCAGTGTAACAGAACGTCCCATATTGACGGCATCCGTCTTGATCTTCCAATCACGATCATAGATCTGATGCCCTCTGAATCCTTGACGAAGCCAACTGCAACGATACCAGCCAAGACAAGAACCACAATAGCGATGGTGCGAGCGACTGGAAACAGTACGACGTAGAGGCCCAGGGCAAAAGCGGCCAGCAAGCTTCTTCCAGCGTGCCACATCAGGGTGTATGCATGATTAATAGTGGCAAAGCGCCCGGTGAGCGTCCCATATGGCACCCCGGCGTAGAGCAGGAGGGAGGTGGCGTAGAGAGAGCAGAGAAATGCCAGGGCGTTAGAGAGGACAAACGCATCAAAAGCGTAGCTCCTCCGTGGCCCAGCGAGCACTGGTGTGCCGGCCACACCACCACCACCGTCGCCAGCTGATCGGTAGCCTCCAGGCAACGTAAAAGCCGATGCAAATGTCACGGTTGTCATGAGCACGGAGAAAAGGCCTAGGACTTGTGCTGCCGCTGTTAGATTCGCCGACATCTTGTCCTCGTCTTGTTTGGGGAGGATGTGCTTTTGGTGGAAGAGGTCGCCCCGATTTTCACCGTAGGGAGCTCCAACTATTAATAGATATTTCCGTATGTGTATTCTTGAATCCTGCAACAACGAATATATATAGAAGTAATTAATCAATAAGGTACTAGCTAGTAGTCATCCATGCATAAACAAGATTAGCTTGCTATAGACATATATAGGTCGTCGTCGCCTAGAAAACAAGAAAAACACGTCGTCTGTCATCGTGCCCCATGAAAATTCAACAGGTCTATATCTATAATAATATATCAGAAAATTAAACATAGAAGGGAAGGGATATGCAATAATAATGGGTAATAATTTGTCTCTTCGGAGACATCCGATAATGGGTAATAATTAAGGAGCTTGCTTAATGATTAGTTAAAAAATCTCTTACCCATGCATAATAAACCTTTAAAGGCATCTCTCTCCATGCAACATCAATAGGTGTCATGCCCTCCTTGTTCTGTACATCCAAACGTACCCTCTGATTCCGAGCTAGACAGAAGAAGACTGCCCAGTTCCCAGCGTGGACAGCGTGGTGCAGTGCAGTGTCCCCGTTGATGTCCTGCGCATTCAGGATCGAGGACAACACTCGTGCAACTGCAGCATCAGCAAGGCTCTTGTGCCGCCTGCTGCCTTGGCTCTGTTGGCGCACATATCTGACCACGTTGTAGCGACCCTCCTCGACAGCGATGTGGAGGAACGTCCTGCCCTTGGCATCTCGCAGGGTGGCGCAGTCTCGGCATCTCCACAGCAGGGCCTTCACCACGCGGAGGCTGTCAGCCCCCGCAGCGACGTGTATGGGATGGGATACAACCCTCCCTCGTCCGGCTGATACGCCATCGACTCATTAGCATCCAGCAGAAGCCTCGCTGGTGACCCTGACCATCCCCAAAAGTATGGATGCGTTTTGGACATCCGTGGCGATGGTAAGCCACCGCGGCCTGCCGCCAAGTGAAGAGGTGTGCTCCCGTTCTCCTTGTCCCTCTGCCTAGTCAGCTGCGACAGGAGATGGAGATGAGCGCGCCCTTGGCCTTCTGCTCGCTGCTGCTGCTGCATGTCGTCCGCCATCGCCTTAGGATCCTTCTTGATCAGCCATTTCAAAACCATAGGCAGCGCTGCCGCTGCATCATCATGCATACACAAGCACTTTGCGTTATTGATTATTCATTTACGAGTAAAGTTCTGTTCACCCCATCTAAATTAGTCGTTGAATTAATTTGAAACACCCCTCGAACTTTATTAATGACGGACAACATACGCATCTTAACTTTAGAAACCGGACAGAACACCCTCCCCCTAACCATTTCAAAGTGGTTTCTTGGGTGGTTTTATTGACATAAGAGTAGGGCCCACCTATCATTTGGTTAATTTCTTAATTGGGTGCTGTTATTTCAATGTTGGCAACTACAAAGTTATAGATATATTTTACTAGAACTACAACTTCGATATAGACTATATCAACATCCAAGATCCTATATATATATATATATATATATATATATATATATATATATATATATATATAGTTTGTATTAATTTTACCTTGGCCACGATGAACCGCTGCATGCAAGTAAGACAGCTTGCCTTTGCTCTTGACATAGAGGTGCTGCGCAATCTCTATTTCACCCAGTGAGATAGCCAGGTACAATGGAGAAGCACCAGCATCTTCCTCCTCCTCCTGATGTGGGAATGGAAGGCAGGCCAGCTCTGGGTCCACGTCCATCAGGTGGTCGATGCAGGCCACATTGTTCCTGGCAGCGCGGACCGCCTGGTGCAACGCGGTGTCTCCACACTCGTTCTGCAGCCTCAGGAACGCCTTCTTCACCGCTGCCCCCGCCTCGTCGTTGTCGTTGTCGTCGTCGGCGGTGTTGGCCAGCAGACCGACGAGGCAGGAGATCATGTGGGCATTCCCAGCACCGGCGGCGCAGTGCAGGGGCGTGTCGCCCTTGTTGTTGCGCGCTTCCAGAGCTCGGCGCTTGCCACCAGCACCGCTCTTCTTCTCCTTGTTGCGGACGATAACATCAACGCAGTCAAGGAACTCCTGCGTGTCGCCGCATGCCGCAACCACGTGCAGCAGGGAGTCTCCCTCCATGGTCACACCATCCTCATCGAGGACTGGGACTGCTGCTGGGAATGATCCTGCGGGTGCTGCCGCTGGTGGCTGCCGCGCCGGCGGCGCAACATTATCATGAGGAGGCGGTGGCTCGACGACCACTTGTTCCACTATTTCGCTGTGGACCAACAGCGAGCCCTCCTCGGTGGTCACCCCATCCTCATCGAGGACCGGGACCGGCGGTGGTGGCGGCAGATGCGCAGCAACAGCGTCAGGACGCCGTGGATCCACATCCACTATGTGGTCCGGCGGTGATATCGATGGTGCCGCTTCCACGGACGTGGTCCTGGACGCTGCAGAATCGGTGGTGGGTGTCCCGCTCCCCTCGTCGTCCGCCCGTGTGTCTTCACCTTGTTGATCGTCGTTGCCGTCGTCATCGTTGAGCTGGAGCAGGTCCTTGAGCGCCTTGCTGTCGCCGCGGCGAGCAGCCATCAAGAGCCGCGGATCAAGTGTAGCCACTGGCCGGGCATCGGCGGCTGCGGCTGCGGTGGTGAGTGGATCCATGGCCATGAGCTGGTCGATGCAGGCCACCTTGTTGTTGGCAGCGCGGACAGCCTGATGGAGCGCGGTCTCCCCAACCTCGTTCTGCATCCTGATCAGGAACGCCTTCTTCACCGCTGCCACGGCCTCGTCACCGGAGGTGTTGGCGATGAGATCAGTGAGGAGGCATCCGATCATGTTGGCGTTCCCAGCACCGGCGGCGCAGTGCAGGGGCGTGTCGCCCTTGAGGTTGCGCGCTTCCAGGGCTAGGCGCACTGCATCTGCACCACCGCCGGCCTTGTGCTTCTTGTTGCGGACCATCATCTTGGCGCAGTCGAGGTACTGTTGCGTGTCCCCGCATGCCGCAACCACGTGCAGCAGGGAGTCCCCATCCATGGTCACACCATCCTCATCAAGGACTACCGGGACTGGCGGCGGCGGTGACGACGATCCAGAGGAGGGTGGTGCAACAGCGTCATGAGGAGGAGGAGGTCGAGGATCGACTTCCACTATCGCGTCTTGTGCTCCCGCCGTCACGGACGATGAGCCTTGCTGCTCGTCGCCGTCCTTGAGCAGCAGCAGATCCTTGAGCTGCTTGATGTCGCCGCGGCGAGCAGCCATCAACAGCTGCGGATCAAGCGTGGCCACCGGCGGGCAGGAAGTTGCCGGGCCGGTCGGTGTTGTTGGCTCACCGGCACCAGAAGCAGCCTGCTGCTCGCTTTCGTTAGTGGCTGCCATGGCGGACATCGATCGATCGATCGCTGTGTGCCTGTGTGTGAATCAACTATCGGCCGGATATATGTATTGGTACGGTGATTCACTTGGGTTGACCCTTGGCCGTTTACCGGAGTCTGTGCTGTCACACCGCCGTTGACTTGTACCATCAACAGCTCCTTCGTGTAAATACGGCTGACAGCACAGATTTCCGGCTGCCAGCAGCATCGAACCAAACCTATCGTTGCTTTTGTTTACTTCTTCGGTTCCCGTCTAGCTTGCGTCGTCGTCGGCTTGCTGAGAACTCCTCATCAACTGAGCCATCTGCGAATTGTACGTCTGTTTGACTGATGCGGACGTCGTGTGACTTCGTTTACTTGGACGCACTGCCGCTCGCGTGCCATCACCCGTCTTAGTTTGGGCTTGTTTGCCATGAGTGAAAGTATTGTTGGCTGGTTTAATATGAGAGAAAAATACTATTTGTTGACTGATAAGTCATGGCTTATAAGTCAAATACGACTAAGCGAATAGGCCGGGATCCTTAAAAACAAGGGGAAAAAATGGCGTAAGGAACTCTCCCATATTCGGCACCGTGCAGCTGCCCACTCAGATGACGACGTGTGGCAAGCTCGGTAAAATTGGCTTGGCAGGCACACAACTGAAGATCCACGTGTTGTGGATTTATTGTACGTTGTTTTTGTTGAACTGTAGATTTATTTACTTGTATGCTTGTTAAAAATATTTATAAATCTAGAACTAAGTTATACAAGATCAAATGAGTATGAAATTTTTACTATAGTTCAAGTATACAATAATTATTTCACCATAAAAATTTCACCATAATTGGACCATAGAAACTGCAGCTACGAATTAATTACAGAAACAACATAAATCTAAAGCTACAACAAAATATTTGTACTAAAGCTGTCGGTGCGAAAAATAACCAACAAGTGAATATTTGTAGTTTTGCCGTACGTTGTGATCGGACGAACCCACATTTCCAACAGGTGGGAGCGTGGGAAACTCCAGCGAGCCGAAGCGAGTCGTATCGCTTGAGCCCGTCATGCCGAAGATGGCGGAAAGGTGGGCCATCCGATGACCAAAAGCGTGAACGTACGGCGTCCTCCGCACGGATGACGCCAACTGTCGGTGCGAAAAGTGACCAACAAGTGAATATTTGTAGTTTTGTAATACGTTGTGATCGGATGTGGCCTAACACTTAATGACACAGGGTTTATACTGGTTCAGGCAACGTGTTCTACGTCCAGTTTCAGTCGGTCGGTGACTTTATTCATGAGGCTAGGTGCTCGAAGTTTACTGTGGGGTTACAAACGAGTGGAAATAAGAAGGGGGTGTTAAAGGTCCGGTCGGGCTCTGGACCGAAGGGCCAAGAGTGACGGGAGCTCCTTCGTGCGCTAAGTATTGTAACGTATGCTCTGTGTAGCTTTAGAGTTCTAGAGCCGTGGAGCTGTTCGAGTACCTAGAATGTCTAGAGCATAGCAAAGAGAGAGTCTGAATAATCGTCCTCCTTTTAGAAGAGAGCGCATCCTCTTTAATAGATGAAGGGGACGACCTTACAAATTTAGGAGAGAGGGTGTGTGTGTTTTCTAATCTTGTTGCCCACGCCGTCGGGTACAAGATAGTTTGTCAGCGTCCACAATACTGTTGACGTCTAGATGCATGTGGCAGGCTCCACCGTGTTCTTCTGGTATGATAAATGTCGGCGCCTATCATATTGTAGGACAAATGTCGACGCCCACAACACTGATCATGTTCTGACATGTCTGAAAGGTTGCAAAGCTCCCTTCTGGCATGGCCTGGCAATACTGTCATGCGGGTGTCCAGGGTATGGTCATCGGTATTACGGTTGACTTGAGAGCCTTGCCTTATTTGCTCTGCCTGATTCTTGGGTCCTCACCGAGCGGACGTCCCCGGTCGGTCGTTCCCAGTCGGCTCCGACCGTGCCGGTCGGAGAAGAGCTGTAGGCAGAGGTTCGGTGTATTCCCGGTCGAAAAAGCGGGTTGGAGTAAGAAGCGAGCGTCGTCCCCTCCTTGGCCAGACCTTCCGGTCGAAAAAGCAGGTCAGAGTCGGAAGCGAGCGTCGTCCTCTCCTTGGCCAGTCCTTTCGGTCAGAAAAGCGGGTCGGAGTTGGAAGCGAGCGTCGTCCCCTCCTTGGCCAGGCCTTCCGGTTGGAGACTAGATCGCTTTTCCGGCCTGTCGTTAGGTATCTGGGCCGGCTCAGGAGTCGCACGTTGTTGTAATGTCGTCTGCTGGGCCGAGCTTTTGCTGAAAAACGGGCCCATCGGGGACCCTAGGTTTATGAACCCGACAGGAGCCCCCGAGCCCTTTTGGGACTTCTGTGAAGTCATGAAGGGCCTTTTTATACTCATTGTACGAGAGCAACAGATGGGTGTAAGATCGTGAGTCATCGTTGAGCGCGATGGAGCGTGGACCCATGCGTCGGGCGTGGCCGAGGGGTCGAGCGCGATGGAGCATGGACCCAGGCACCGGACCGACGAACCAGCATGCTGATCAGCAGTCGTACAGGGTGTAGGCAGCATAGTGATCATGCGTCCGTCACTGTGGGTCAATATGGGTCCCCTTGAACGTCATGTCGTGGAGACAGGTCGTGCTGAGATGCGACCGCTCTCTGTACGATGTCAGAAGTTTGACTTAGGGTTGTACTTTCTGGCCCGTAGTGGTTGGTGGTGGCGCGAGCTTCCGTTAGGGACCATGTCCGAGGGATCGGGTGAAGCGTGGCCAGTCCTCAGACGTCGGGCGAGCCAGAGCCAGCCCTCAAACATCGGCCAAGGAGGAACCTACCCTCGGGTATCAGCCGAAGTGGGGCCAGCCCTCGGGGGTCAAACGAGGCAGAGCCAACCCTCGGGGGTCGGACGAGGCAGAGCCAACCCTCGGGGGTCGGACGAGGCAGAGCCCAGCAAGGGGTGTGGCCTTGGTGGTTCTAGAAAACACCTAGGAGATTTTTTTGACTTGCCAGCGGGTGCGCGCGAGCGCATCCGGTGGGTGTAGCCCCCGGGCGATTCGGGTATAATCGCCTGGGGGATTTTTTGACTTGCCAGCGGGTGCGCGCGAGCGCACCTTGTGGGTGTAGCCCCCGAGCCCCCGGGTGATTCGGGTAGAATCGTCTGAGGGATTTTTCGACTTGCCAACGTTCTGAGCCATCGTTTCCGGGAGCGCGGCCCCAGGCGTCGGGCGCCAACCCAAACATCGGGCGTGGCTAAGGGGTCGGGCATGACGGGGTGCGGACCCAAGTGCTAGGTGTGGCCGAGGGGTTGGTCTAGTTTCGTGCGTTACCCCATCCGCGGTTTTTCGCAACCGAAGGGGCTGAGCTAACGTCGCTTGCCTCGATGGCTCGAGTGACGCACTCGGTGAGCTCTCTAACGGGTATGTCCGAGTGGAATCCTGGTCCATCATTTGTAACGGGGTCGGTATAGCCCTCATGTGGCATTCCACTGCTCCTTAACCCGCCTCCCGGTAGATGCCTGAGCTATTTCAGAGACTGACTCAGGTGGCCCGCTGGCCTCCCCTCGATGGAGATTATGTGGGCATGGCTCGAGGTTAGGATCGAATGAGAAAGTTGAGATGACCCTATCTGCTTCCGAGCAGATCGAGCGAGGGCCACTGGGGCTCATCTGTGTTTTCTCCCCTAGCTCTGTTTGATGTGAGGCGGCCTCGAGCCCTTCGCGGGCTGGCCTTCAAACCTCGGTCGGTTGTCGCTCATGTCGAATGAGGCGACTACCGCTTCATGACGCAACACGAAGCGTTGTGATGCATCAATTGCATATGCAATGCTTTGGATGTATGGGATGAATGAATGATTGCATGGATGAATGTGTGAATGTGTGAATGTGTGTATGAGGAAGGATGAATGAATGATTATGCATTTAGAAAATAAAATAAAGTATGAAGGTTTGGTAAAGATACCTTAATGACTCGAGTGGCGGGTTTGAGGAGCTTTTATCGGATATGTCAGAATGGGATCCGTGTCCGTCATTCGTGACAGAGTCAGCGTAGCCCGCATGGGGCATCCCACTGCTCCTTACCCGTCTCTCGATGGTCGCTTGAGTTGTTCGATCGACTCAGGTAGCTCGTTGGTCTTTCCTCCACGGAGATCCCATCGGTGGGCCCTTCCAAACCCTGGCTGGGAAGGTGGAGGGTCGTTTGCATGCAGTTGTGCCTTGTTTCCTACGCCTGGGTTGTGGTAGTGGTGGGCCCAACCTAGGCCACATCCCGTTTTAATCGGGCGATGTTTCGTTGGGCAGGGCGTGTCCATCAGTCAGGCCGCGTCCCACCACATGCCCATCCGCATTAAATAGGGGAACTGAGAGGGTCTTCATCCCATTCCTTTGCCTTTCTCCACCCACCGCCTCTCCTCCTTCTATTTTCTTGCCAAGCTCATTCGTGGGCCATGGCGGTTTCTAGGAGAGAGAGGGTAAAGCGAGGGAGAGGAGAACTCACAGATTCGTTCGTGAATCCAGAGCTCAATGTCGAACTAGAGGCCATCCAACATAGATGAGGTGGTGTTGGCCGCCTTTGCCGAGAAGGGGTTACTCCCACCATAGGAGGTGGCACATTGGAGGGCTCCTATGCTAGGGGAAGCTGTTCCGTGACCACGGGCTGACAAGGTTGTCTCCTTCCTCACCTTCCACGAGCGTAGGCTTGGATATCCCACGCACTGGTTCTTGCGCGGGCTCCTCAACGAGTGGGGCCTAGAGCTACAGCACCTCAATCTGACTGGGGTGTTGCATGTTGCTAGTTTTGTCACCATCTACGAGGCCTTCCTTAGGATGGAGCCACACGTGGACCTCTTCTAGCGGATCTTCACCGAGCGAGCCTTGTCGGAGGGGAAGCCATCCAGAACCACGTCGGTTGGGGGCTTCGCCTTGCAGAAGAAGCCGAGGCCATCGGGCTCCTATCCCGCGTATTCCCCCTGCAACTCCAATCGGGGGTGGCATGGCGAGTGGTTCTACCTCAGGAACCCAGCGAAGGCGCCATTCCCATCAT